GGAACAGCCATGGAGCACTGGGGAGGTGCATACAGAGCCCTAAGGTCTCCTCAGAACACAGGTTGGGAACCCCTGTTCTAGAGCAACAAAAAAGTGTTCCCCTTCCTGTCTAATTAAACCAGGGGTAGGCAACCTTTCCCTTTTAAGGGCCGAGGGACTTCAGCTCCCAGAAGCCTCAGCCATGTTGGCCAATAGTCACATGTTGGCCAAAAGCTCCTGGGATTCTGGGAGCTGAAGTCCCTCGGCCCTTAAAGGGGAAAGGTTGCCTACCCCTGAATTAAACCATTGGTGGGCAACCGTAGAAGGTTAGGTGGCCACATTAGCACTCCAGAAACCTTGGAGGGCTACCCAACCCTCCACTACATCTGCTCCCTCAAAAAACAAAATGAAAATAATTTGACCCCAAATGCCCTGGAACACCCCGTAGGGGACATGGAAGCATTTTCACCAAGTTGTGGGCCATTTGAAGCCCAATAAAGGTCTTTTTTAACAACAGGAAGAGAGTGGACATCACTTCTTGTTCACTTCCTTTTTCAAAAAAATACCTCTCCTGGGCCTAAATTAACTGGGGAGAGAGGTCCTGAGACATGGTGGGAAAGCCCTTCACACTCCCTGGAAGGCATTTGGGGGCCAAAAACAATTTTAACACCTGGGGAGGGGCAAGGGGCCTCCAAACATGGTGGAAATGTGCTCCACACACTCTTAGGGTTAATTTTAGAGTAAAACAACACTTTTTTAGCCCTGGACCACAGAAACAGCCATGGTCTACATTTTGTCCACCCTTGAATTAAACAAGCAAGTACAAGATGATGAGAATTGCTCTGCCAAACAGCAAGCCTTATTAAATCCAGACCAATTTCTGACTCAATATCCTTTGCTGGACCATTAGGAAGGCAGTTTCGAATTTGACTAAAAATATACCTTTCAAATGAAAAGAAATAGGACCTTATCACACGGGGTCTAAAGCAGAGCTAATCCAAAGGGTACCTGTAGCTAAAACGTATTATTTCCCCGTGTTTACACATGACGTTGCACCGAAACTCAACAGAACCCGAAGCTAATCCGTAGCGAGTGGAGAGCTTTTGGCATTCAGTTTTTTGAGGAAGTACAAACGAGCCTTCGGAATAGCTTCGCAATAGCCGCGCAGGCGAAATGCTTATGATCACACAATGCGTGTTGTGAAGCCTTTCCCCGCCCCGACCCATGGTTCCTCACACCGCTTCCCATGGATCCGTGAGGAAGCATCTTATGACGCGCCTTTCCTGTTTGGATCGGGCAACAAACGGGACCGGAAAACATGGTCCTCTCTGGAAATTTATGGGATTTTGGAGCTTGTGTGTGCACGGAGGATATGTTTCCAGGATCCGTGTCCCGGGAACCGTGATAAATGCGATATGACGGTAATTGTGTGTGGTGGGCAGCGGGAGCTCTTTCAGTTCATTTCGATATAGAACTGAATTTACTCTTATTTTGGTTACTTTTCGCTTCGTGGCCAGGGTGTGATAAGGTCCATAGTCTTGGCACATGGGTGCCCAAACAGTGCTGCTGATGTTTGTTTGCAGATGACTATGCCGTTGATTTTCTCTAATGTGAACTGTAACACACCAAAACCTACTTCTGCATCTGGCTCCCTCAGAGAACCAACTAGTTAAGTTTGAGGACTTTAAAGTATAACAGTTCTAAAGAATTGCTTTCAGCAAGATAGCTGGGATTATCTCAAAGAGGGCTGCCAATTTACTTGGAAAGATGATATAATAAAACAGGTTCCTGATTGAATACTGAATACAGTGTGTTAGAATTATGGGAGCTCCATGGGAAGCAAGAGAGCCCTGATTAGATCAGAGAAAGTGATGCCTTTCAGAGTTTTCTCCACCTAGGGTTCAGTGCTCTTTAATCATTTCAACTTAAATCTCCAGCTGCCTGGCCTTAAAGCAGTGACATATCTAATGCACTTGGCATAATGTTTAGGGAATAGGAAATGTTATGTCACAGCAAATTCTAGCAAATGATATGTATTTCACTTCTGAACTCATAAACCTGGATTAATTCAACCCACCCTTCCACCCCCACCACCTGCTGAGATTTAGGGTTCCCGGGTAAAAGCTCTTTGGTTCTTCAGTATAGCTACACCTATTTCTTCACCATTACTAGTGACAGGAAAACAGCATGTTCAGAAGCAGGATCACTGAAAATTAAGGAGAGGCTTTCACTTCTCCCTTCCTGCAGCAATATCCATGTGTGAGTGCTTTTTTGCTGCTGGCAGTGAGAGGAAAGCAATAATTTCAGAATCCAGGGAGCAGCATCCCCCCACACTCCTGATAAACTAAGTTATGGAGAAAGATAGGTGGAGTTCTGTTGGGTTCAGGAATGGCATAAGGAGCAACAAGGAGCCATAGGAAACAATTGTGCTGCAGGTAGTTCTTAATATTAAAGAATGTATCTTTCACTAAAGCTGTACAAATTGCCATCATCATCATTATCACTGAGCTAAATTCAATGTTCCCATGTTCCCTTCTCACCCACAGCTCTCTACGTCTTCAAAGCCCTCTGGAGCTGGTTTTGTGGGGTGCACCATTCTTCTGGAACCCATTGTCCACCACTGGATCCTGCCCTTTATCACAAAGACTGTCATTATATCATAACTTTCTCTTTTTACTTGATCACTTCTGATTTTCTCCTTGTCAGTTTCATCAAACTGAGTACATTTGGATTGGCATTGTATTTTGTTTCTAAAATGTTTGCTTTTTATTCCAGATGATCCAAAAACCTGCACATCATGCATTTATAATTATTACATGTAAGTCACTCTACATCCCCCCCCCCTCTGCCCCCTTCCATCATGATCTCTTGCTTGCTCGCTCTCTGCTTTCTGAAACAAAACAGTGCTTCCTAAGGAAAAGTAGAGTGATCAGAGAGCTAAGTAAAAAGCATTATGTGAATTACATTTGCTAGTTTGAGTGCCATTTTGGAATAGAAAGATAGAGCATAAAGAAGAATAAATTTATGGATGGATGCATGGATGGATAATAGGTAGACAGACAGACAGAAGATAAATAGAGCCATTTAAGTTCAAGAGATATTCCAAGACAAAACTGCACCATAGTTTAAAACAGTGATAATGTGAGTTATAGTAATGTGAGTTATAGCTGTATGAAACAGTAATAATGTGAGTTATAGTTAAAAATAGTAGTAATGTGAACCAGTGATAATAAAGCAAACCAAATAATAATGAGTTTGGTCAAAATGAATATAGAGCTTATCGCATGCTTTAAAAAGCTGGCTTATCTTTTCTAGCTTCAGTCTTCATCTAGGATACAGCTGGATGTTATTGCATGGGCCAGCTCCTTAAATCGCCACCAAAGCCACCACTCAAATCCAGACTGGGTAAACTGCAGTGTGCAGCTGGCCAATTTTCCAAATCAGAAGCTTCCGACTTCGAAAATCAGTCAGCTGAATGCAGCTTTGACCCGCAGTTTACCTGGTCTGGATTCAGGCAGCAGATTCAGCGGTGATTTAAGGAGCTAGCCCATGCACTAATGTCCAGGTGTATCCTGGATGAAGACTGAAGCCAGATAAGGTAATCCAGTTTTTTAAAGTATGTGATAAGCTTGTATATTAATACTGATAATGCAAACCAGTAATACACCATGCTTATGAACATGCCTTAAAGTTGGCAGCCTGTATTTCATAATTAATGTTTACCATTTGTGTGTGGGACACTCATGGAAGGATTATGCATTCTCTTTTCAGTTAAGTTTCATCCATCATTATCCTTCCTTTCTTTTCTTGCCAAGTTAAGAAAGAAGAATGCAGGCAACAAAAATACACTGTTTCTTTTGCTTCCAGGTACAACCAGCAATGCTATAAAAGTTGTCCTCAGAATACCTATAATGATGAAAACTCTCTCCTATGCATAGAATGTCAACCAAATTGCAGAAGTTGTGATAAATATGAGTGCTACTGGTGTAAAGAAGGTTTCTTCCTTTTAGGTAAGCAACTTTGTTGTTTGTTGTTGTATGTCTTCAAGCCATTTCTGACTTATGGTGACCCTAAGATGAACACAGCATGGAGTTTTCTTGGGACGTTATCACA